GACATGTGGCCAAAGCCTCTTTCCCCTCGGTTCAGCTGGAACCAGATTGGAATTTTTCAACCAAACATTCCTAAGGAACGGAGGAGGGGGTGGGGGACAGACAACAAAAGCAGACGCACAAAAACAGGCCCAGAAATGGAGCGTGCCTGACCCGTGTTCCTAACTGCCATGGGGACAGGCCCCGGTGGCCGGCACAGCTGGGTGCCCTCAAGGCCCAGGAGGCGGGAGGGGTGCGGCCTGCTCAAGGACACCCCGCCGCAGAGTGGGTCAGTGAGAAAGCCCAGCCGCCCTCCAAGCCCCGGGCTGAGGCCCTCCCCGGCTCCCAGGCTGAAGAACCTCCAGCCCCATCTTAGACCCATTGTTCTGGCTGAAAATCTAGGCCAAGGCCACAGTGGAGGAGAAGGCGTATTTCCGCCTCTGCTCCCTTGAACGTCTCGAGATTGCAGTCCAGGCAGGTCACCAGGGAACCAGCTGGCCCCCCTCGGCCTGGTGCAGGGCCAGCGCGAGCGGGAGAGGTGGACGGGCGGGCAGCAGCAGGCGTTGTGGGGCGCAGGGCCCGGCGGGAGGACAGCAGCTGCCCTAATTACTCCGGCTCTCCAGGTTCCAATCTCGTTTGAAAAGGACTCCAGGGACGCAGCCTTTAATAACTACCAGTAAACAGGCAGGAAAATCGATACCTGGTAAGCAGAACCCTGGAGAGAGGGCTGGCTGGGCGGGCTGGCTCTGACCCGGCCCAGAGGAGCTCCCAGAGTCCTTTGTTGTAGAGCTGGCCAACGCTGCCCTTAGGAACCTTGTCCCCACCCCTACCCCCGGGGGCCCTGTGTGTGCTTTGGCTCCTGATCCGGCCTCCACTCCCTCTCCACGAACACGGACTCCTCCTCCTTCCCACTCCATCGGAGCCCTGACCTGTGCCAAGTAGGTTGCCTGTTTCAGTTGCAGATGCCTCCCTTGTGCCTGGTACTGGTAATACTGATCTGGTCCTTATCCTCCTGACAGCCATCAACCAGTGAGGAAGATTAAGAACAGAAATGAATAACTGAATCACAGTCCAAGGATAGACATGCAACAAAAAGCTGTGTCTAGCAGTGAACAGAAAAGCACTTCCTGGAGGAGATGAGCTTGGGGAGGGTTTTGTTGGATGAATAGGAGTTTGCAAAGTGAACAAGGGCTGGGAGAGGCTGAATGTGGGTAATGTGTGTCATAGCAACAGGCATCTTAGCTAACGTTCATCTAGCACTTACTCTAGCCCAGCGCTCTGCTAAGCGCCCATGACATACATTATCTCACTTTGTCCCACAGTCGGTGTTACTACCCCCATTTTACAGATGAGAACACTGTATGTGGCTATATGTGGATCCAGAATTTGCACAGGGCCTGTGAGACTTCTGAGTTGTTTTAACCACTTCGATCTGCAGCTCCCACACCTGATCCTGCTCGCTTTATTTAACTACAGAGGTGGTTAAATAAAGCGAGTTCCCATCCCTTCTCTTTCCTTCCCTTCCCATCCAGGGCTCACACCTTCCAGGTAACATAGCACCTTGACCCTCAGCAGGAGGCTAAGGGCGCTACTTCAGGCACATCAGACCTGAAGATCATCTCTCATGAGCCCCCATTTTGCAGACAGGGAAACTGAGGCCCTGGGAGGAGAAGACCAGCACTCAGGAGCAGAGGCAGGAATAGGAGCTGGGATTTCCCCTCTAAGTCATCCCCTCTCACGCCTGCCCTGGAAGAACACTGTTGTCAAGGGAAAAAATCAATACACACACACACACTCAATTAACATGATAAATCAGACATCAGCAGGAGGCTGCCTGGAGGCCCGGGGGAACTTTCCATATGATTGGCTGGACCATTACAGGGGCCCAGGGACACATCCCCTCCCTGCTCCTCCCATATCAACCTCTGCAGCTCTGTGCCTCGTTTTCCTCAGCTCTTGGGGTCAAGGCAGTTGACACAGGGTAGAGGAAGTCCACAGCCCTTGGATTCTAAGTTCTAACAGAGAGAGCCAGCCAGCATGGCTCAGTGGTTGAGCACTGACCTATGAGCTAGGAGGTCACGGTTCAATTCCTGGTCAGGGCACTTGCCCGGATTTCCTCAGCTCTTGGGGTCGATCCCCAGTGGGGGGGCGTGCAGGAGGCAGCCCATCAATGATTCGCTCTCATCATTGATGTTTCTATCACTCTCTCCCTCTCCCTTCCTCTCTGAAATCAATAAGAACATATTTTAAAAATAAATTCGAACAGAGAGAGAGCAGGACCCAAGTGAGAACAGTCAGAGGAATCTGAGCCGGTGGAGTGGGGAAGGGGGGATCATGATGGGTCCCCACCCACCTGGCTGCAGATTCCTGGGCCAGGCAGCCTGGGGGATGCCAATGACCAATGGAAACGCGGTCGTGAGGGCCTGCTGTGTGCCAGGCACCGTGCTAGACTCTTGGGGTACGGCCATGAGCAAAGCGGTCAAAACCTCTGTCCTTGTGGGCTGATGGCCAGTGGGAGGTGACAGGGAGCGAAGAAAGTGTGCAGATGACACATCAGGCCGGGCAGTGCTGGGTGCCAGGAGGAACACTGAAGCGAGAATGAGGATGGGAACGGGAGGGCAGCGTTCCGGGGGGCTGGGAAGGTCTCCCCAAGGAGGTGACATTTGCACAGAGATCTAAAAGAAAGGAAGGAAGAAACTCTGGGAACGTCCAGGCGTGGCTGGGTCCTTCTCCAGGTGAGGGGACAGCACACGCAAAGGCCCTGAGGCTGGCAGCGTTGGGGATGTTTGAGCAACAGCAAGCAGGTGCGGGTGGCTGGAGTGGAGTGCGAGGGGGCCTGGGTGGACCACGTAGGGCCTCACAGGTCATGGCCAGGACTGTTATGCCAAGTGAGCCTGGGCAGCCAGGGGAGGATGTGGGGCAGACGGAGGATGTGAGCTGACTTGCCCTGAGCAGGACCCCTCTGGCTGCCATGCGGGGAACAGATGACAGCAGGCAAGGCCAGAAGCAGAGGCCGGCCATGAGTCTACTGCCATAGTCCAGGCGGCAGACATACAGCGGCTTGGCCTGGGGAGAATCGGGGCCGTGGGGGAGGAAGGGTCCGGTGTGGGATGTATTTGAAGGCGGAGGTGACTGGGTTTCCTGAGAGACGAAGCACGGGCTCTGAGGGAAGGAGTGAAGCCCACATTTCGGGGGTTGGTGGCGCGAGCAGCGGGAAGGACAGGGCTTCAGTAACTGCAGCAAAGAGGCTTCAGGAGGCGCGGGTTCGGGCGGGGACAGATCAGAGCTGTGCTTTAGCAGAACTAAGGTCGAAAAGGTGCCGGGGAGGTGCTGAGGGGGCAACTGGACACACGCGTCTGGTTCTCAGCCAAGAAGATGTGGCTGGAAATGACCAACTTTAGAATCATCCGAGACAGGACAGTGTTTGTCTTGATTGTTCCTTTTATCAGCCGCACAAGGAAGGTCTGCTTGCGCCCATTTTAGAGAGGAGAACAGGGAGGCTCAGAGACGTCGAGTCACCTGACCGTAGTCACACAGCCGGAAAGTCAGGCAGTCAGGCCCTGAAATGAGGCCAGCCTGCCTCCCGGCCCCGGGGCCCTGCCCACACCCTGTGCTCAGCGGCTCTTCTCACCGAATCCTCCCAGCAGCCCGAGGTGAGAGGGGCAGGGTGAGTCACAAACTAGCATCACCTTCATTTTCGAGATGGGGCCACTGAAACCTAGGGGGGCTCAAGGGACTTGCCCACAGCTGAGGAGCAGTCAAGTTTGCAATTTTCCTGCGGGCGTGCCCGACGAACCCAGCCAAAGAGTCTTTCCACGCTGGCCCCAGGCCAGGGCAGGCCAAAGGCGCTGAGAAGTCCTGCAGCCTGGACGTGGGGTTATCTCTGCTGAACCCCGTGTCCCATGGAGCCTTGCTCTCGGGGAGCACCTGGAGCTTTGGGAGCCCAGGAGCAGGGGTTGGGAGCGAAGCCTCCGTGACCGCGTTTTTGAAATGGGGCCATGGGTATGCACCTGGCTGGGTTACCATGTGTTTTTTACGGTCTTTTCGAATGAGCACTCGGCATGGAGTCCTCCAAAGAGCAGATGTCAGCGAATGTTTGTTAAAGGAAGGAGCAAGCGAACAAACAGACGAAGGAAAAAACACACCCAGTGGACAAAGGAATGGATCGGGGCAGGGATAAGCAGAAAGGCAGGAGGGAAGTGAGAAGAAGGGATCCATGTGTGAGCTAATGAACTCACTCTTACCTTCAACAAGTACCTCTGAGCCCCGACTGTGTGTAGGTGCTGGGGATACAGCCGCGAATAAAACAAAGTCCCTGCATTGTGGCGGTGACAGTCCCGCCAGAGGAGACAGATAGCAAGATGAGTAGGTAACATAGAAAGTAGACCAGATGGCAAAAACGGAGGAAGGAGAGAGGGGAGGGAAAATGTGGACAGGGGCGCACATTTAAAACAGGATGGTCCTGAATGAAGGAATGACCACGCACGGATCACGGAGTCAGGGAAGGGGTGAGCGTCAGTGCAGGTGTGAATGAAAGCATGGTGGCTGCCGCGGGCATGGGTGAGGGGACCAGTGGGAGGATTGTTGGATGAATGAACTGAGGAAGACATGACTGTGTGGACTAGGGCAGGAAGAAATGAATGCGCTAAGAATGATGGGATGAATGAGTGAACTAATGAGGGTCTGCATGCCACCCACGTGTCTGCATGGATCTCTGCCCCGCCCGGGTGCTGACTCTGCTTGACCTTGCCTGGGTAGCTCCCCCACCCCCACCCCAGGGCCGCGATGTAGTTCGGTGCCTGGCTGGCCCCTGGGAAGGGGAGGGAGCCTGCCTGCCCATCCTGCCCTGGCCCTGCCTTGCTGACCTGCATGGCGTGCTGTCCTGACACCACCTCTGTGGACCCTCCATCCCCGCCCTGCACTGCTCTCACCCACCCGCTCTGTACTGCCCCTCCCCCCCACCCCCACCCCCACCCCCACACCCCTCAGCCTCGGTCCTGACTCCTCCCGCTTGTGAGCGCAGGCACCATGCGGCCGGTGCGGCGCAACTTCTACGACCCCTCGTCGGCGCCGGGCAAGGGCATCGTGTGGGAGTGGGAGAACGACGGCGGCGCCTGGACGGCCTACGACATGGACATCTGCATCACCATCCAGAACGCCTACGAGAAGCAGCACCCCTGGCTCGACCTCTCGTCGCTCGGCTTCTGCTACCTCATCTACTTCAACAGCATGTCGCAGATGAACCGCCAGACGCGCAGGCGCCGCCGGCTGCGCCGCCGCCTGGACCTCGCCTACCCGCTCACCGTGGGCTCCATCCCCAAGTCGCAGTCGTGGCCCGTGGGCGCCAGCTCGGGCCAGCCCTGCTCCTGCCAGCAGTGCCTGCTGGTCAACAGCACGCGCGCCGCCTCCAACGCCATCCTGGCCTCGCAGCGCCGCAAGGCGCCCCCCGCCGCCCCCCCGCCGCCCGCGCTGCCCCCCGGAGCACCACCCGCGGCGCTCGCCCTGCGCCCCAGCGCCACCTTCGCCGGCCCCACGCTCTGGGCCGCGCCCGCCACCAGCCCCACCGAACCTGCGCCGCCGCCCGGGGCGCCCCCGCGGAGCCCGAGCGCCCCCAGCGGCGCGCCCACCCCGGGCCAGAACAACCTCAACCGGCCGGGACCCCAGCGCGCCTCCGGCGTGAGCGCACGTGCCTCCATCCCGCCCGGGTAAGACGCCCCTGGCGCAGGCGTGGCTGCCCAGAGGGCTGGGAGCAGAGAATTACCATCGTAGTCATAAGCCTAAGCAATAGTTGGCATCTATTAAGCATTCACGGTGTGCCAGGCGTTAACGAAGCGCCATAATGCGTTTCCACTCATGTATCTCCACGCGAGAGGAGCCTGTGCGGTAGGTACACTCACTCCGATGTACAGACGAACACACTGGCGGGGGAGGGTCTATAACTTCTAAGATCACACAGGTCACAAGTGGTGGGACCGTAGGAACAGTAATCAGGGTGTGCGTTCCATGTTTATCTGCTAAACTTTATCTGCACCGTCTCGTTTATCACTCCAACTAATCCTGTCATGCCCACATGACTGATGGAGAGGCTGAGGCCGGGACAGGTGCGGTACCTTCTGCGAGTCACCCAGATGGAGAGCAGGGATGGAAACTCAGGCCTGTAGGATCCGGAGTCTGTGTTGTGTTGGCTGCGATGTTTAGATGATCCCTACCCGCCTCCCCCGTCCCCGCCCCAGCCCCAGTCCATGCCCATCTCACCTGGAGGCTCCAGCAAGCACAGGCCACTTATCCAAAAGAGTCCCCCTAAAGGCTGCACCTGAATTAGCACCATGACTTTGGGCTAATACTGTGGTTTGCGAACTGGGTTCCAGGGACTCCTGGGGTGACCGGAGATAGTGGCAGGAGAGGGTGGTGGATAAGGAGAAGTCCTGCACAGGAACTGGCCTCTGCTCTTGTCTTAACCAAAATGGCCCTTTTGGGATCGCTTTTATGACTTGGCAGGATTTCCCAGTGGATTTCATCGAGGAAGGGAACCCAGGTCAGACCAAGATTGGAAATTCCTGGGTTAAGGCATCCACGCCCCAGGATAGGGACCCAGTGAACATGCCGGCTGCGCGCCCAGACGAGTTTCAGCAGAGGAACAGGCCCTGAGGGAGTGGGAATGAGAGCCAGGAGCCACGACCTTGACCTTGGGACAGCCCAGAAGGGAAAAGACCAGGCGGCGTTTGGATCATGATGCCCAAGAGGAGGGGCGGGCACCGGAAGCCGGCCCCGCTGTATCCCTATGGCATGGCCCAGGGGGTTGCCCTTGACGACCTGAGACCAGCAAAGGTCATATCTGGATACAATCTTTGGGGTCACCCCCTCCAGGCCTCCCCTTTCACCAAGGGAAACAGGCCTTGAGAAGGGAAGGGACCCCGAAGTGAGGTGGCTTCTGTCCCCTTGAGAGTCTGCTTAGCTTCAAACCCCCTCTCGGCCACTTCTGAGCTGTGAGATCCGGGCCAAGTCCCTCCCCTTCGTCGAGCCTCAGTTTCACCATCTGTGAAATGGGAGCAGGACTCCCCATCACGTGGAGAGGCTGTGTACCTGAACACGGTGTCTGCACCCCGCAGCCGTCCAGCAGTGACAGGTGGGGCTGTTTTTGTTATCCGGGAGGAAGGTTGGTGTGGGGGGCGGGGGCTGTAACTTTCCATGGGGAGACGGGCAGCTGCCACCTGCCTGCCTCACCCTTCCCTTCCCCACTAGGCCCCTCCTCTCGGGCAGGCCCAGTGCCAACAGACAGGAGACCTCAGGAGGCCTGGGAGGGGCTCACCGCTGGGGATCCAGAGGCTGGAGTGTTCATTATGGCTCCTTGTCCTTAGCAACCTGGCCCCAGCTCCCTGATGAAGAGGAAGGGTTGGGGGCCCCAGAACGACAAGAAGAGTGGGACGACAAACTGGGGTGGGGGTGGGAGGGGGCAGAACCAGGGACCTTCTCTTTGGGGCTGCATTGTGTCCCCACTGGTGGATTGTGAAATTGGAATGGAATGGAACGGAAGAGGGTGGAGTAGCGAGTACGGGTCGGTGTGGTGCATAGCAGTAGCAAGAATTGCTCCGTGAGCCTTTCGCATCGTTTCTGCCTGTGTTTAATGTGCCCGGTGAAGTGAATTTCTTAGTCACCATGAAACTGATGAAAGCCACTGTTTTAGAGCAGGCTGGGAATTACCCGCTTTTATTGCGCAATGTTAATCCTTCACATGTGGCCTGTGGGTGCAGGGTCACAGAGCAGACAAGACAAGTAGGGTCCAGACTGATGGGGAGGCCGACGCAGAGCACGTAAACGCGTAAATGAGCACAATCACTGGAGAGAGAGGGAAGCGCTGGGGAGGGAGTGGGGCGGGGCAGTGCGGCTGGAGGGGAGAGGGTGGTCGGGCAGACCCCTGTGAGGAGGCAGCCGGATCGGAGAAAGGCTGTTCCAGGCAGAGGGGACAGTGTGCACGACTTCGGTGGCACTAGAAGGACATGGCACGTTCAGGGAAGGGCTGGACGTGTGAGGAGGGCAGGATGTGAGAAGGGGAAGGCACCCAGGCAGAGGATGACGGTGGGAATACAGCCAGCAGGTTCTGGGCACCTCACAGGGCGGGGGGAGGGGGGGGCGGGGGGGGCGGGGGGGGCGGGGGGGGGGGGGGGCGGGGGGGGGGTGTTCCTGCTGGGACATTAGGAGCTGAGATGTTTCCCAAGTGGAACTACAGAGCCAGGTTGGGGGCGTTCGGGGAGCCTGGGATGTGCTGTCGGCAGTGGGGAGCCATAGAGTGTACTTGAGCTCAAGGGGGCTGTGGGGAGAGAAGGATGGTTCCTGAGGGCGCTGATCATTACGCATGTCCCCTAGGACATACCAGATCTCTGTTCTCCGCAGCCACGTGCGCCTACCCCTCTACATCCTCCCGTCCTCCTCCTCCTGGGAGCTGTTTGTGACCCTGGGGACCAGACAAGGGCTCTCTCATCCCTCCCAGCCTCGCAGAGCCGACCCAGTCTCACCTCCGCCCCTCTGGCTTCCCCTCCCCAGCCAGACAAGCCTGCATGGAGATCCCCCAACCCTCATCCCCAAGGAACGCCAGTTAAAAATCCCCTGGCTCAGAGTGGGGGGTGGGCGCAGGCCCCATGAAGCCTGCTGCCCATGAGGGGAGGGGGAGGAAGGCAGGGGGGGCAGACCCTGGTCCCTCCCACCTGCAGCGTCCTGTTGCCAAGGCAGCCGAGGCCCAGGTAGGGCCAAATGAGGGGATAGGGATGGGGTCTCTGAGGAGCCAGGCAGCCAGGCCTCCCACCCCCACCCTGGTCCCCAACACCTTCCCCCCCCAGTCCTCACGGGCCTACACACAGTCTCACCTCTGTGTTATGGTGTCCAAATGTCCTCTCTATAAGGACCCCAGTCATGTCGCTCCGTGCCCGCCCGCGTGACCTCACCTCACTCACTTCTGCAAAGCCCCTGTCCCCACAGTCTAGGGCCTGGGCGGCAGAATTCAACAAGAGAGGCCCGGGGTGCACGATGCAACCGCGACATCTCTGCGACTCTCACAGCTGAGTCTTGGTCTCTTCCCGTCGGTGTCTCCCTGTCTCTGTCTGCCTGCCTGTGTGTGTGGCTCCTTCTCTCCCGCCTTTGCCTCCTCAGCTCTCCTCCTTCCCCTGCTCCCTGCTCTCCACCCTCCCGCTCTCCCACGCGGGACTCAGGCAGACCCCGAGTCCAGTCCTGCCCCGTCCTTTCCCAGCGGGGCGACCCTGCGTGCCCAGCGCTCCCTCCCTGGCCTCCGTGTCCCCTAAAACGCGGCGTGACCAGCACGGAAGGGCGGAGTGGACTCTTCAGAGCGTCTGAGTCCATCCTCATCCCACCCTCATCTCAGCCCTGGGTGGGCCACAGCCCGGAGGCCCAGAGAGGGCCACTGCCTTGCTGTGGCCACACAGCCGGGGGGGTGGGGGGTGGGGGGGGAGGCAGAGTGTCTCCAGGGCCGGGGTTTTTTCCACTCGCCCCTGTGCGGGGGCGGGGAGCCAGCTGGCCGCCCGGCCTGGGGGACCGCAGGGGTGGGGAGATCCGCCCTGGCTCCCAGAGGGCAGCGTCCAGCGCTTCGGAACACAGCTGCGGGCAGACTCAGAGTTTCCACCCCACGTGGTGGAGGGAGGGAGAGGGGGCCGCTGCAGGCCTGTTTTTCTGCACTGAGCACTCACATGTCGTCCCAGGCTCCCTGTGGCTGTGACACCGATCGCCAATCTGAGTTCCCACTTTGTGGGAGGCGGGTCCTGTGAGCCCCACTTTGCACGCGAGGAAATGGAGGCTCCCAAAGCCTGGCGCTTGCTCGAGGTCACACAACTAGGACTCTGATTCAGAACCCCACCCCCCCTCAGCCAGGGTGTCCCACCCTCCTGCCTGCCCTCTCCACATGTCGAACCATGGTCCCAAAGACACCCCCAGCCCCCGCCACAGCCCTGATGGCACAGGGGGTCAGGGACCCCGGAGCAGGGGCTGAGGTTGGGCCCTGCTTCAGCATCTCCTCTCCCTGTGAGCCCGGCAGAGCTCCAGGCCCGCTCTGACCCTCGGCTTTTGCACCTGTGAGCTGGGGCTGACCACCCTGTCATTGTCCAGCTTGAGGCCAAATGTCAAAGCGGCTGCCTAGGGTGCGTCTCTCTCCCCCACCCTGAGGCGGGAGGCCAGCCTCCTCGGTGCCCGGAGATGCCGTTGGCGTTTTCACCCTCTGGTTCTTACGGAGCCTCTTCCTGTTTCCTGGGCGCCAGCGGCTCCTGCTTTTCCAATCGTTTGTTCCTTTGTTTGCCCTTCTCTTGGGCTGTTTGCTGCTTCACGAGAGATCTGCACCCACTCCTTCTGCATTAAGGGTGCTGACCCTTTATCTGTCATCTTTTCCCCAGTTTGCTACTTCTTTTTACCTTCTCTCTAGCTTGTGTTCATCTGTTCCTTAATTAATTAATCCATATGTATCAAGCAACTGCTGTGTACCAGGTGCTATTCGGGACCCTGGAAATACATCAGTGAACAAAGCAGACCACCCCCACCCTCCTGGAGCTCACATTCAATAAGCAAACAAGAAAAATAAATTCTAGAATATGGTAGAGTCGTAACTGCTACAGAGTAAAAAAAATAAAATAAAAAATTAAAGGGATGTAGGGAGTGGTGAGAGGGATGTAATTTTAAATAAAGAGGCCAGGAAAGGCCTCCCTGAGAA